CCCCAAAACCCCAAAACCCCAAAACCCCAAAACCCCAAAATATTTTAAGATTATTGAATATTTTAACTTATGAGCATTTTTAACCAATCAAATAGTGGTTTTAGTAGCAAACATGTCAGCATCAATCCCACTCCCAGTGTGTCTGATCTCAATGAAGTGTTAGGTGCAAGTGTCAGTAAGTCCTGTGACAACCATAGCTTCATCCAAACTCAGAGAGATCCCTGCCTTTGAAGAAATCGAAGCAATTGAGCAATCTAACAAACACAAAAAGCTTGAAGAGCGCAGACAAAAAGGACGTATCAGATCTAAAGCCACACGAGAAAACAAAAAGAAGTATCTCCAGCAGCTTGAACACAAAGTGGCAGAGCTCGAACAGGAGAAGTTCAGGCTGCAGAACCTGCTGATAAGCTACAGAGCAGACAAGCTGTATGACATTGGGGCTGGGTCGAAATAGTCCGATCGAGAACATTCAGACTACCAAGTATCAAACCATTGAGCAATTCTTTGATCGGGAAACTACTCAGTATGTTGGAAACAAATCAGTCTCAATGGCAGCAAACTTCGAGAAGAAAATGTATAAATAACTTACAAAATCACAAAGAGTTTATCGATAAAGCTTTTGAAGCTATCATCAATAGTTATAACCCAAATTGGAAGAAAACCTTTCAGAGGGATTTTCAGCCTGAATACACCACAGATTACAAAATAATCAAGAAATACTCCACTTTCTTCACTGGAGAAACCAAACTGAGCAAGTACCAGCAGCAAGAGTTCATCAAGAAGCATAACCTCAACTTGGTTGATGAGTTTGTAGCATCTGTGAATCCCTCTGAATCTCAGTTCGCTTTAGCTAAGGTTATCTTTAAATAAATATGATATTATACACAGAAAATATAAGAAAGCAATACAACTACTTTTGGAAGCTAAACAAATTATCGAAGAAACTAACGTTGATCATAATTCATTCATGAAATTTCTGGTTGAGTCTAAAATATTTGAAGAACGCCAGATGATGAATTCAATGCTGAAGAACAGCATCTTCACAAAAGACAACGCCTTCAAAGACATCTGGCAGATCAAAATTTCAAAGAAGACATACACTTTCAACATTCTTGATGACCATATTATGGGTGAAATTGCTAGGAAAGTCCTGAAAGACTCAGATAAAAGCCAAGAAGTATCATTTGAATACAACCATTTTAGCTTGCCGTAGAGTCTGCATTTTATAAAACTTCACCTCTAAATCTCACATAAGGGGTTTTGGGGTTTTGGGGTTTTGGGG